ACCTTTGCACTTGCTGTCCCTCCACCTGAGCCACACTGTCCCCATGGACCACAGAGGACCCAACCTTTGCACTTGCTGTCCCTTCAATCAGGCTCGAATTCTAAACAATGGCCAGTTCTGTTTCCTTCAAGTCTTGGTTAAAATGTCACCCCAACAAGGAGAAGGCCATGGGTTAGAGGAGAATTCCAGAAGGCTCATGCGTTAGTTCCTGGACTGATGGAATATTTTCACATCTGACTTATGTGCGTGCATCTGTGTGTGGATGGACACACGCAGGCATCTGTGGAGAGCAGAAGAGGATGAGAGGCTCATAGAGCTGGAGTTTACAGGTAGCTGTAAGTGGCCTGATGTGGTGACGCTGGGGATCAAACCTGAGTCCTCTAGAAGAGCAACAAGTACACTAACTGCTAAGCCAGCTCTCCAGGCCAGTGGCAGAATTCTTAATTTTTAGTTATTTTTGAAATCTTTGGGAGAGGGTGGTTCAAGGCAGGGTTTCTTTGTGTAGTCTTGGCTATCCTAGAACTAGCTGGGTAGAGCAAGCTGGCCTTGAACTCACAGAGATCCACCTGCCTCCGGAGTGTTGGGATTCAAGGCATGTGCCACCACACCCAGACAGTGGTAGAATTTTTAAGAGTGGAGTCTTAGTAAGGGGTCTCCCACTCATGTGGGGATGTGGACTTGGAAGAGACACTGGGACCTGGATCAAGCCTACTCCTCTTCCTCTATTCACACCCAGACCCAAGATAAATAGACTTCCTCAGCTATGGATCCCGGCCATGAATACCATACCATGGGCTAACGAACCATAAACTGGAAGCCCCTAAGCTAAGTGACCTCACGTGAGGTCGATTGGCTCAGGTATTTCGATACAGAAATACAAAGCTGACAGCCGCAGAGGGCTTTTCCTCTCACCAGTGCCTTACACTTTCTATTATAGCGGCCTACAAGTTTTTAACAATTTTTTTTTTGAGGCAGAACCTTACTATGTAGCTAAAGCTAGCCTCGTGTGTGTGTGTGTGTGTGTGTGTGTGTAGGAAGACTCATATGTAAAACTTCCCACTTCATTCTCTCATTCAGGTATTGTAGGTGTGGATCACCACACCCACCCAGCCTCTACTGGAACTCACTATGTAGAACAGGCTAACCTTGAACTCATAGAGATCTGCCTGCCTCAGACTTTTTTTGTTACTGTTTTTTTGTTTTGCTTTGTTTTGTTTGTTTGTTTGTTTGTTTTTGAGACTGGGTTTCTCTGTGTAGCCCTGTCTGTCCTGGAACTCACTCTGTAGACCAGGCTAGCCTCAAACTCAAGATCTGCCTGCCTCTGCCTCCCAAGTACTGGAGTTAAAGGCGTGTGCCACCACTGCCCAGCTGCCTCAAACTTCTTTAATTGCCCTAACTTTACCGCTGGCTGCTGGGCAACTGCAGTCTGTTGACTTTCTTCCCTCTCCCTCCGTCTCCTTTATGTGGTCCTCACCATTCCTCCTCTTAGGCTGGAGGGCTACAGGTTCTGTGCTTTCTAAATACTCTCTCTAACCATCTCACCAACCCTACTTTACCTACAAGCCAATGACTTCCAAATAGCTGTATCTTTAGCCCAGGCCTCCTCCATAACCTGGGCTACTTATCCAACTACCCACCTCACATCTCCACTTGGAGCTCTGGAAGACATTAAGATGTCCAGTGTCGATCTCCTGACTTCCCCTCCAAACCCTTGCCTTTCTCCCCTGTGTGACATGCAACATCAACTGTGCCCTTCCAGTGGCTTAGGCCAAACCTTCTGAGTCAAGCTGAATGCTGTGGTATCTCTACCTAAGATCCAGTCCACTGGCAGACACTGTCTACCTCCAAAGTCCATTCAGAACCTGACTCGCCTGTCTGTGGCCACCACCTTGATGCAAGCCACTGAACGTCTTACCTGGACTGCTCAGGGGCCTCTCACTTGGGTCTGTTTCTCCACTCTCGACCACTGTACTTATCTATTCCCAGTACCACAGCCAGAGAGATTTTTCCAAACCATGACGTCATACTGCTGTTCAAGACCTTGAATGGCTCCTGTACCTCAGAGTAAAGATGGCCATGAGCCTGAAGGGCCTATACAGCCTGCAAGCCTTCCCACCCCTTCTCAGATCCTACTTCCTCTCTTTCTCTACCCCCTGGACCACTTCCCTCGTGCACACAGTGGATTTCTTTCTGTTACGAAGGCACTTTGGCCCTCGCTGTTCCCAACCCCCAGGCATCCACATGGCCACCTCCATCTCTCCCTGGCTTCAGTCTAGCTCAGGTGTCACACTCCCCACCCCTTACACCCGCTATGCACTGCATCACACTTCAGTTAATGAAGGACCAGACACGCAATGGTCCCAGAAGACAGGGACGATGGCAGAAAGACAGACTAAATGCCTATGTTAATGGCTTAGAGTTCTCATACTGTGCTTTCTTATTACACTTTGTTTTGAGTGCGTGCACATGTGTGAGGGAGTTTTAAGGACAACTTTCAGAAGTTGGATCTCTCCTTCTACCTTACGAAACCTGGGGATCATCAGGTCACCAGGCTCTGTGGTAGTGGCCATTATCTGTTGAGCTATTTTGCCAAAGTATCCACGGTACACGCCTTTTGGATTTCCAGTCAAGTGACCTAATTCAGTAAGGCGTCTTTGACACTTCTACAATTCCTATGGAAAGCAGCAGTTTCCAGTTCAGGCAACTGGGACTTTAGAGCAGGAAATGGGCCAGTTCTTACCTCCTGTGTAGAGAAAGGAGCCAGACAGGCCTCCAAAATAGATGAGTGCTAAGTGCTCCAGTTTCAGAGTGGACAGGTAGTAGAGGCAAGCAGCACAGACGCAGCCCAAGGTGTAGAGGAAGACTCCAAATCGAACAACATCCTGGGGCTCCAAAATCCTGTCCACCAGAGTTCTGTCATCACTCTTTTTGTGGTCAATGCCCTTGGAAAAGTCATAGTAAGTGTTGACCAAATTGCCAGCCCCGTGCACAGCCAGGACAGCCACTGCACAACCCAACAACAGCCTGGGATCCAGGGCGCCCTGGGATCTGTAGGCCAAGGCACTGCCTAGGGCCACAGGTGTGAGTGAGGCACTGAAGCTCCAGGGCCTCAGGGCCAACACGTAGGAGGCGCAGTTCTGTCTCCAGGATCGTTCTGGAAGCCTGTCCTGCTCGGGCCAGTCGTTCCTCTGCAGGTCCCTGTCCCCGACCTTGATCGTCTCTCCTGCCTGGATATTAATTTTCTCCCCCGGGACCTGTACCGCAGCCATGGAAGCTACACGTGGCTAACGTCAATTCTAAAAGTGAGCCACTCACGGGAACCGCCCCAGGACGAAGATTGGCGGGACAGCCTGGCCTGACCTCTCTTTGGTTCCGCCCGGGACAGGGTTTGGGAGGCGGTAAATACTAGAGACAGCAACGAGGAGGCCATGCACTGCTACGGGGCCAGCGGGGCTGCCCGCCCACCTGTCACCTGAACGAGACCTGTCTGGGGTTCCCTTCCCCGTGCTACAACTCAATAACCGGCCTCAGCCCGCAACCTCCAGCAAGCCGCCGGTGCCGCCATCTTGTGCGTCGGCCTCAGGAGGCCGGCCCGGAAACCAAGACCTGGGGCGGGCAGGGCCGGGTGCAGGACGGTGAGGGGCGTGGTCGGAGAGGGGAGTGGTCAAAGGCCAGAGCCCGGGTTCAACAAATAAGCTAAAAGAAAGTCACTGGAAAGAAGCAGCTGTTTAGCACTCCAGGGATTTCGGGGCGTATCACTTTGCGTTTTACTGGGCCGGTTCACTTACCGAGGGAGGGGGTTCACCCCAATAAATCTTACGTTGAAAATACTGTGTGCATGCTGGGCTGGTGGTGCATCTCTATGGTCCTAGAACTTGGAAGATGACGACAGGAAGAGAATTCAAGAACATTATATATAGTGAGTTTAAGGCCAACCCAAGCTTCATGAAATTGGCTTTTTGTTTGTTTTTTGTTTTTCAAGACAAGGCAGCCCTGGCTGTCTTTGAATTCACTCTGTAGACCAGGCTGGCCTTGAACTCAGAGATCTGCCTGCCACTGTCTCCTGAAAGCTAGGATTAAAGATGTGTGCCACCACCATCCTGCAAAAAGGAAATGATGAAGAGGGAAGGGAAAGGGAAGGAAATGGAAAAGAAGAGAGTAGAGGAGAGACAGAAAGAAGGCAAAAGAAGTGTTCATAAACAAAGAACTTGGAAAAGAAAATATGGTACTATGTGATTGACTATGTATGTATAGCTGTAAAAAAAAAAAAAGAAGTAGGAAGTTTTCTGTGTACTAAGATGTAAAGACCTACAAGATGTTTTGTTTTATTTTTAGAGACAGGGCCAGGGCTGATGGCTCAGTGGATAAGAGCACTAGCTGCCCTTCCAAAGGAACAAGGTTTGATTGGAACAGGGTTCAATTCCTAGCACCCCTAAGAACTCATAACTATTTGTACCTCCATTTCCAGGAGATCTGGCCCCTTCTTCTGGCCTCTAAAGGCACCAGACATATATACATGAAAGAAGATCACAGTAGATATACATTTAGGCAAAACACCTATTCACATAAAATCCAATAATAAAATGACAGGGGCTTATATAGCCCAGGTTGGCTAGATACTGGCGATGTAGCCCATAATGACATTGAAATTTTGATTCAAACTTGAATTTCCTCCAACTTCCTGAGTGCTGGAATCACAAGCATTCACCCATACTTGGTTTTATGGTGTGCTGGGGATTCCACATACTAGGCAGATAATCTACCATCTGAACTACAACCCAATCCTACAACTTGCAGACTGTTGTGAATTACCTAATGTAAGAACTGAACCGGAGTCCTGTGAAAAAACAGCAAGTACTCAATGAGTGTTGAATTGTTGGAGATCAGGGAAGTAAAGTGAATTTTTAAAATAAATTATTGAAAAAAAAAAAAACTGGCCGGGCAGTGGTGGCGCACGCCTTTAATCCCAGCACTTGGGAGGCAGAGGCAGGCAGATTTCTGAGTTCGAGGCCAGCCTGGTCTACAGAGTGAGTTCCAGGACAGCCAGGGCTATACAGAGAAACCCTGTCTCGAAAAAAAAACCAAAAAAAAAAAAACTGGAAAAAAACCCCACACATATATTAGGCCAGGCATGGTGGCACACGCCTTTAAGCCCAGCACTCCAGAGGCAAGAGGATCTGTCAGTTCAAGACCAGCCTGGCTTTACATATTGAGTTCCAGGACAGTCAGGGGTACCTAGTGAGAATCTGTCTCTAAACACCAGAAAAACGAGAACAATGAAAAACCAAGTTGAGGCTGGGCATGGAGGTGGAAATCTGTAATCCCAGCACTGAGAGAGGAAGGGGTAGGGTGTGGGTGAGAATCAAGCAGAGGCAGGTCACAGCGAGTCTGTATGAGGTCCTAAGAAAGTCTTTTTCCCAAAGTCTGGCATTTAGACAAAAACCAGCACTCCCTTGGGAGCTTGAACATAGCTCCTCCTTGCTAAAAGGAGTCCTTCTTCTTATCTCCGGCAAAAGGTGCAGCTCCCATAAGTTAATACATATGACTGAGGTGTGAAGTCAGCCTCTGGGCTCCCTCAGTCTCTATTCAAGTCTCCAGGCGGCTCACAGCTCCTCTTCTCCCAGGTACGCAGTCCCATGTAACCCTGGAGATCCATCCATCCATCCATCCATCCATGCATCCATCCATATCATACACATCATCTATATCCCCACCCCGCCCCCACAGCTTCTCTCTGCTTTCCCAAGAGACAGCCTTAACAGTTTGAAATATTTTTTTTTCCTTTTTTCACCTATGGAGCAGCTATTTTGGTTTCTTTGCTGCACCCATTTCATTCGGTTGGAAGCCAGCCTCACCTGGAACTCTACATAGCAAGTTTTAGGCCAGCCAGGGATGTACAGCAAGGCACTGTCTGAAAAAAAAAAGTTAGACACAGTGAAGAACATGCAACTTAGAGGGACACCTTATTTCCTCAAGTAAATTACCTTAACCAAAAGTGACCAAAAAAAAGGATTTAGGTCACCTTCCCATTTGGTTCCTTGGCCACACATTAGCACTTGTCTGGCATGTAGCTTTTCTGGAAGCTTATTTCTTCAACAGTTCTTTTTATTATACAACCAATAAGTGTGTCTTCCCAAAATCTCATTACATTTTAGTTGGCCTTTATCCAGTTTAATATCTAGGAAGTGTATCGATGTTTTATAAAGGGTTATATTGTAGTATAACTTGTACTTTGGCGCGTTTCTTGTTAGTTTTTTAATTTAAAAACATTTAACTTTTTTAACTAATTGGAAATCTTTACCTTATTAGCAAATATTTATCTGCGTTATCATTATTAATAGCTTCACGTTTCTCTAAATATTAATGTATTTAATATTTCATTCAAATTCCTAATTCAAGCTATTTTCGGTGTGTATTACAACACTGATAGAAAATAGAAATGTAAACAAGAGATATGCATAAATTTCATTTGAAAAATTTTAATGATATACATATATACATATACATACGCATACACATTATATATACATATTGGTGTTTGCATGTCTGTCTGCGCACCACGTGTGCCTGGTGCTGGCAGAGGGCAGAACAGAGCATCAGATCGCCTGGGACTGAAGATACAACTAGCTGTGAGCCACTATCTGAGAGCAAGTTCTCTGGAAGGGCAGCCAGTGCTCTTAAACACTGAGGCATCTCTCTAGCCCAACCTTGAACTTCTGGCCCTCTAACCTCCACCTCCAGAGTTCTGGGATTACAGGCGTGCGCTTTACACAGTGCTAGGGATTGAACTCACAACTTTCATGTTCATTGGGCAAGCACTCTATCGACGGATCTACATCCCCAGCACCGGCTAGTGCCTGTTTGAAAAAAAAAATTAAGGATTTTTCTTTAAAATCTTTGATTTAAAGTATCTCTTGGAGACCATCTTACTCGTGAGAATGAGCTCACAAGTAAGGCAATGTGGGGGAGCGAGAATAATAAAAAAAAAAACCTTGCAAATGCATAATTAAATTTTACAAACAAGAAAGCGACAAGAGTCTCTCTCTCAGTGAACCGATCTTCAAGCTATGTCTGCTGCAGTGATTCGAGAGCGTCGGACACTTAGCTCCTTATCAGCATCCGGAGCGCGATCCCTGACCTCTGGCCCTAGCTCATTCAACAGGTTTTCAAGGTATCAAACCGTGGCTCCACACGGTCACAACGTGTGTGGAGGGGACTCGTAGTAGCGACGTACCGGAAGTGTTCGTGGAAGTGACCGAAGTCAACTCACGACTGATTGGCTCTCCGGAATATTCCTTAGCCTTCTTTTGCTTGCCACTGGTTGCGTGTTTTGTCTATTCGAACAATCCCCGCCCCCGAGAAGCCGGTCCCGAAGCTCCAATTCTTCATGATAATTGGTGGATGTTCCTCCCCGTCTTCGTTCTCTGCCCGCTGATTGGTTGTAGGGTGTACGAGCCCGCCCTCCCCACCTCCCGGGCCTAGAAGACAGCGGGGAAAGCGGGTGGTGAGGCTGGGGGCCTGAAGCGGCGTACCGGCTCAGGCGGCGGCAGCTGAGGCGGTGGCCGAAGCCGCGCGGTGAGTCTGGGGCCTGGAGTCGAGCGCTTGCGGCTGGCGGGACGTCCAGACTCACGGCCAGTGTGGGCCGTGCTGGGGGAGGCCCGGGAAGCCGCCTGTCTAGACCGTACAGCGCCCCAGCCCCAGCCCCGCGCCCTCGGGGAGACCCCCAGGCTGGCGGATCTGCTCCGGGCCTGCCGTGGCGCCTTTAGGTCTCCTTCTCGGTCTCAGGACCTGGAACTCCAGACCCACCTACTGACGGTGGAGCCTGTCCCTGGGAGCTTCAATTTCGGGATCAGCCCCTTACACTTCACCATGGAGACCTGCCAGGGACCCAGACCTCCGCGCTCACGCAGGGTTCACGCCCTCACTTCACGTTTCAACCTTTCAACTCAAATTCCCCTAAGGCATCATCAATACCTTTGGGATTTGTGACTCAGATAGTTACTTTGAATCCAGCGTGGGGCAGCTGGCTTGTGGGTAAACCCTCCAGTGACTGTCTAGTTACTGACTTGATGAGAATAGTCCAAGTCAATCTCCTTCCGGCTGCCTCGTGTGCGTACACACTCAGTAGTGGTTTCTTCCTCCCCTAAAAAGGTCCAGTTCCTTCTGTAGTATTTTATTCCCTCTGCAGTGTAGCGTTTGAAAGCTTTTCCAGACTAATTACGTCTTGCGTTTTGTGTTTACTCTCCACCCAGCACGACCTTGAATTTCTTGTCTCTACCTCAGTGCTGGGTTTTAAAGGTGTGATACCATCCCTTGGTTATGCGGTGGTGGGGATTGAACTCGGGGTTCTGTACGTGTTAGGCTGTGTCTCACAGATTCATTCAAAACCAGAGTGCTTTAGGAATTTTTGGGATTTTTTTTTTTTAGTGTAACCTGGCCGGATAGGTGTATGTTACTGCCATGACAAAGTGGGCTGACCCCTTTTTTATGGCCTCTTTATTGTGGTGCCCCTGGATTGTAAACTTATTGAGGGAACAAACAG